AGAGGTTTTAAGGCTCACGTCTATCTCTTTAATGGGAAACTATTCGGGAATCCTTTAATATCTGAAGATGAGAAGATGGCCACTCCTCTTTGCTTTGGCGTTAACGAGGCATCCGGTGTCAAAAACCCAGCAGAATGGACTGGGAAGGAAACATAACATGGACACTGGTCACACTGCTCACACACCCAGGCCGTCTTTGTGTGTCAATGCGTGTGTGTGCGCGCGCGTGTGTGTGTGTGTGTGTGTCACGGAAGGTGGGGGTGACAATAGGAAATGCTACACCTCTTGTCTGCTGTCATCTGCGGCCCAGCGGAGGCGCCAGGCGGCTCTGGATGGTTGGATGAAGAGAGAAAAGAGGGGAAAAGATAATCTCGGCCTCATACCTCCTCGGTTTGTGCGCGTGCGCGTGCGTGGGCTCGTGTGTTTGGAGGTTTTCAAAAAGCTTCGTGCGAGTTCAGAAACAACAGAAAAAGTGGCCTCGGTGCGTTCAGCAGATCCTGACCGACGCGCGCGCGCGCACACGCAGGCCTGCTGCTTCAGAACCTGAAGGTCCAAAGTTGTGAGCCGATATTGGCTGTTTATGTGAAACAGAATAACCTAAATAGGGGGAAATTAGATTAGTTTGTGAAATGTTATATTTCGATTTGCACGTTTTTGGAAATGAAAATGTGGCAAATATCCTAATTTTTAATTTACTCGGCCCATTAAAGATGCTTTGAAATATAACAAAGCGATTTTACTTTAGTTTGGGGACTTATATATAAAAAAAACTCAAATTCTGTCCCCCCATTTATGCCTTTTGATGTTTTGACTGAGAATAAAATCTCTCGCATTCCGTCAAAAACTCCTCAGCTCCACAACTTCTGACGCCTAAAAACTTCTGACAATTAGTTTTTCTCATTTCAGAAACTCTCCGAGGATCCGAACCAAACTAAAAAAAAGGTCAGACACCGGAGGTGGACACCGGAGGTGGCCCCCGTTGAGTCCGGCTCTCCTCTCCGTGCGTAAACGTCGCGCGCCCCGGGGGCCCAGCGCCTCGAGATGTTGCTGGTGAGCGCGTGCACGCTTTGTTTAGATAGCAGGGGTCTGCAGTCAGTAATAGGTCCATTAAGCAGAGTGGGGTGTGTGTGTGGGGGGGGGGATACTATCTCAGTGATCCGTAACGTCTACGTCCGCCCGGCGAAGCGCAACCGGTGGACGCACATCTCCCCCCCCCCAAAAAAACCCCACCACGTTTTTCTGCTTCCTGTCCAGCAGTTATGATTAACAACAACAACAAAAAAGGAGAAAGGAGCAGGCTTTTATTCACAGAGGCCTAAGTTACGCTAAAAGCCTTTTTACCCCCCCCTCCAAATCATAAGTAATGCGCAAAAAGCTAAAGCGCAGACCCCCTCTCCTGTGGATGTGTTTGGACCCCATTCAGATCCCCTGAGTTGTTAAAAAAAAAGAAAAGTGGGAGACAAGGTCTCTAGATCTCTCTGGGGCGCGAGCGCAGATAGCAGGCCATGACGCAACCGGCTGTGTTTAGGAACCCGCCCGGCCCCCCGCTGGATAAATTGCGGCGTTGAATAGTTTACCTAACGGGACTTCTGTTTCTCGTTTTCTGTCACTCGCCACGCCAGACCGGGCTGACAAACGGCCGAGCTTTTACCGGCAGAGGAATTCCTGATTTATGTGGGAAAATGAAACGAGAGCGCAACTTATTTTTTTTCTCCCCCCCCCTCCCTATATAAGCATGCAAATAAAGTAAATGATCTCCACCCCGCGTGACCATTAAGGTCGGAGATTTGTATATATACGCGCGCCGGGGGGGGGGTAACTGTATGGTTTACTGCGGTGATAGATGTGTTGCGTGTGTAGATCTCTGTGGTCGGTTTGGTAGAAACAAAAGGAGTGGAG